GTTGTGCACAGCAGCAGACCTGCTGGAAGACAAGACTTAGTGGCTGAAGTCAGATATAAGCTCTTCAGAATTAGTTAACTAACCAAGCACAGTCCTTCCAGTTTTAGTTTGAAAACAAAATTGTAATTTCCAATAGAGAATTTCTAGAAAGACATTTATGTTATATTCTAATGCTATTTCTGCAGTTAATCCAGTGACAGTGTCTGAAAAACAGATGTAAGTTTCATGCTTCTAAAAAAGCAGCTCTTCATACAGAGGGAATGCTAATGCTTTAATTAAAAGTGAAAAATCTCAATATGTGCATTCTCGAGAAGGCTACTCATGCTTTCCATTTCACTCATGGTGGCATGGAGATAAGTCTGAAATGTATAATTCTAAGTTTGAACCATCTTCTTGTCCTTATTTAAAGTGCATTTCATGTATCTGAAATGGAAGAGCAGTAGTTTCTAGGTAAGACCAGAAGCACGCTCGTTATTTTTCTCCTTTTGGTTAACGCAGTTCATTATTTGGTTTTGTTGCTTTAATGCAAGCCTACAGGCTGCTCCCTTTGGTGTGCACCAGCTACGGTACAGTCACTGTTTTTCTGCTCCTAACTGCTTTTCTAGTTCCTGCACACAAGCCAGGTGTGCCTGCTCAAAGCCTGTTTGAATCACGAGGGACACCTGAGGCATCACCGAGCCCTGGCTGGGCTTTGTCAGCCTCACTGGAGATGCTCTCACATGCCAACTGTAAACAGAAGAGACCCACTGATTCCAAGCCAGATGTGCTTACACCTCCCCCTCCCCAGCCTGTGTCTCTGTAGGTAAGGGATAAAGAAGTTTAGCAGCTTCCCTCTGACTTCAGCCTTGATCATGCCCAGCACCGTGGGAACATGGGAGGAAGAGGAGCAGGTGTAAGCAGCTGCACATCCCCCATCGTTGCTATTGGGCTGGGGTAGTGAGCACAGCCTGGATGATTTCGGAGGAGGTGGCATGTGGCTGACAGGTCGGGGCCACACAGCTGAGATGGGGCCAGGAAGCAACTTGTCACCATATACCCCGTCCCCAGGAAAGCAACGATTTAGCCCTGCTCAGGTTATAATTGTGTACTTTACAAAATCTCAGACCATGTTAGTGCCTATGGGGTGAATTATAGTAGTAACCACTGCAGTTAGCAGATAGTCATATAAATTGGAGTTACTGCCAGCAATTTAGTCTTGAAATTAAACTATGCAAGTGGTAAATTGGCACTAAGGAGTAGACTATGGGGCTCGCAGTTGGGGGCTGAGATGACTGAGGTCAGATTTCTCTTTGTGTTAAATGTCAATAGCTGGCATTTAAAAGAAACAATCTATACAAACCAATAAGACAGGGTATGAAAGAACTGCTGTTTAAAATGTCAAACTATTTTAAATCAAAACAGAAATCCAGATAATTTACAAACTAAATCTGACCTTTTGTATTTGGAATATTTATACTGTAGCTGTGCTTTCAACAACAGAACTTGTAAAAACCTGACAGCCATACATCTGTGCATGAATCTTCATTAACAGAAGTTTGCAGATGGAAATAGATTTTAGTGGACAGACTCTCAGCTGGAGCAAATTCAGAGAAATTTACTGAATCCAATACTCTGATTTATAAGTGCTGAAATCTGACTTCAAGTTTCTCTTCATCCCCCCCCAGGAGGGCAAGATACCTGTTTATTGGCAAAACTGTATTTTTCTAGTTACTATAATTTATCTACAAGTACTGTTTTAACAATTTAATACCACTAATTCCTGATTATAGATGTTAAGGGAGGAAAAGAAACCCCCCCCGGAACAAAATAAAAGCAATGAGAAAACAGATTCAAGTCTCCATGCTTGAAGACTCCCTGTGCAGGTTACAAGAGCCAAAGCATTTACAGTTTTGGGGTTTTTTTGCCCTAAAGCTTCGAAAGGTGCTGGATTGTGCTTGTCCTGAAGAGCGACTTACTGTGCTTCTCCACAGAGTGGGTGGCCACAAAATCTTCTGCGTACTGGCCTGGCAGCGTGGTTTCAGAAGCGCCCCCCTTCACTCAGCTGGTGTGTTTTCACGCACGGTTTGTCTCCCTGGTGCTGCGATGCCTCTAACCGATGTTAGTCATTGGATGAAGTAGGGGTGTAGACACTTCACCGAGAATGTAACACGCTATAAACTGACCTAAAATGTGGTACTTCTATACCAACAGTGTGAGAACAAACCTAAACTGGTACGCCCTTTTCCCATCCAAATGACCACAATGTGTTAGCGATTGCAGGAGGTAGCGATATTAATGTTTAATACCTGTGAGCCAGAACATCAAAAATATCCTTTCAGATGGCATTTACAGTTCAGTTCTCAATAAATGAGGGTGCATATTCAAGAAGGATTACGCATTAGGAAGTGTAACGTTTAAAATCTGAACAACTAATTCCTTTAAAATTTGTATTCTTCTTCTGCATGGCCAGCTAATAAAGGAAGGACTTACCACTTTGTGGATTTAATACATGGTGTTTGTTTATAGACCAGCCTCCCAGATTTGAAGCATCCATTTCAAAGCCTTGAAGGATTACTGTTCTCTTCTCCCACAGAATAAAATCAGGACATGTTTCATATTCATATCCCACCGACACTGCAAACAAATAATTAAAAATCTATCAGTCTACCTTTTCCTCTGTGAACTACTAGGTAATTTTTCATTCCAGGTTTTCATATTCACCTGTCAAGTAATGATGCCACTAATTTTCCTCTGCCTGATTGCTATTTTTGAATGGTATTTTTGTTTTTAAAAAGGGTTTTAAGAGATTAGTGTGTTATTACAGCTAGAGTTACTACTGTTCCAAAGCAGAACATTTTTTATTTTATCAGTTATGGATTTCTTAAGAGTATAAATCTCCTCCAAGGACTCCTGACTTGATTCATTATTGCATTTCTGCTAATTACCTAAATAACAGCTTAAATAGAAAAAAAAAAAAAAATCATGTTAGAACAAACTGGTTTTAATTTGTTTGCTAATTGTAAAAATTGTAGTTAGGCAGAAACGGATTGCCAAGCTGATAATTTTTAGAATTAAACATTTACCTTAACAGGCTTGTGCATCACATGGCTCCCCTCCACAGCTGGCCAAAATACCTACTGAAAATCCTGAATTTCCCTAAGGATGGTGGGTTTTGAGGCTCTCAAACTGACCAAAAAACCTTTGCTTTAGCACTGCAGCAAAACACAAAAAGCCTCTTAAAAGTTTAATTTTGGTATCTCCAATATACCAATCTTTTTTTTTTTTTTCTTTTTTGAAGTTATTTATCTCCTCTAGTTAACCTTTATAGATTTCAGTGCAACTCATTCATAAAGGAAGAATATCATTTTGACACCAAATCCCAAAATTTGATCTAGGATATACTGAGATAGTTCATCCTTTACAAAATAAAAATGTCTTTAAAAATATTTTAAGATACAAAATAAAAAAAAAAATAATTAAACCCCACAGTTTTCTGACATTTTCAATATTTTCTTCTCACTTTTTCTCTGTAGCAGCTTTAGGTACGTTTTACTTGAACCATAAATAGTTTTAATATCATCTAAATTCCATTACTGGATGCAATCAAAATATTTTGACCAGCTATAGCAGGGAGCATTTGTAAGATAAATGTTTTATGGCAAACTGAAAGCTGTTCCTTACAGCAACTTCACTTAGAGCTGCTTCATCATTTTAGCAGAAAGAACCTGTTTTTGCAGCTAAACTCTGCCTTGTAAAAATCACTTCTTCTTAAGTACCGTAAATATTGTATGTTTCAAACATTATAGGTTTCAGTCTGAGGGTCTGTCCCATTTTTCTGTTACAGGAGCTCTTATGACTAACATCAGCGATGGTTCTGGGTAACTCCCTGGGCTGAGTGCCCAGCTGTGGGCATGGAGCTTCTCCCAGAACAGCCCCATGCTGTGCTGGGCTGAGCCATCAAGGTTCAGTAACTGAACATGCTATTTTCTAGGTGTTAATGCAGAGAGAAGATAAAGGGCAGATCTTCCCTGTGAGGCAAGCTCACACTTGCCACCTACACGTTAGCATCTTTACTCCGTTCATGCACTTAACACGTTCGATCCTGGGCCAGAAGCATACACTTGGAAAGAGTAAAGTCACGTAACACAAAGTCACTCAGCCTTGCCCAGTGACCCGTTACAGACCCACAGGACACTTCACCAGCTGCTGTACGGTACCATGCCGGTACCCGCTGTAACACTTCACGCCACCCGAGAATCTTGTGCCAATGGATCCGCAGTGGCACATTTACCAGGACTGCAGCTACCACTGAAAAGCGTCCGCTGTTCCCTGCCTATAGCCGATGTTTCTGAGCTGCCAAACACCCTCTAGAGGTTATTGTTCACTGTTCCCTACCCTCACAGTTACTGTGCAGAGCTGCCTTTTGTCCCTCCTCAACACTAAGAGACATGTGGACATACAGTCACTTTGTGTGTGTCTGCAACCATGATTCTGTGTACACTTACATGTATTTATGAAAGAAGTCTATGCTCCAAAAAAGAGTATCTGTGTGGTCTTAAAGCAGGGTCTCCTGAACCATCTAACTGGAGGTACTGATGTACCGTCCATGAAAATTTCCTAGCAACTGTTCTGCATGCAAAGCACAACAATTACAAAGTCAACCAAGTGACTGCAGTGTCACTTGAAAAATAAGTATTTTGTTACTGGCAGGCTTTGCAAAACATTGTGATTTTTTAAGTAAAACAATAAACTCAGTCAGCTTACCCTGACTTTGGGGTGTTACTTTCTGGTCAAATTATTTTATAGCCCTTTTTTGAGGTGACTGAGATTTCACTCCATGAAAGGGAACTGTAGTGACTATGTTTTTGGACACTAACAGCCAGCAAGTACAGTTCTTTGCAGTCTCAAAATGCATTTCAAAAGGTTTACTGAAATAGTCTGTGCCAAAACCTTACTATTTTCATACAAGTATTTACAGAATGAACAATTATTTGATAGCAGTACAGCATATCACCACAGTTTAAGGGCTGTTGCCAAAATATAGGTAAGAAATAAAAGACACCATTAAGCAGGATGGTGACCTCTGTTTCAACCTCTCCTGCAATATTTGTCCTTATCAGCATCTTACTTCTTTGAACAACTAATATAATGAACTCAATTAAAGTAACACGTAGAGCAACAAACAGAGAAGACCTAAGACTTCCTGACAGCTGGTTTAGGGTCACATGTGGAAGGGTTAGTCCTTGGACACCACTCCATGCTGCTGTGCGGGATGCAAGTGCTTGCACGAGTGAGACTGAGCATGTATGGAGTTATACAGGAGCATTTACTGAGGGTTTTACTAAAATCCTTCCTTTTCCTATATTAAACTACAAGGGGACATAGACTTTACCACCAAGGTTTTGTGTCACATGATTTTTTTTTTATTCAGAAGAAAAAAACCGTTACTTTGTCATCTCAGTTGTTACTCTGAGAAAAGAAAATGGCCTCTTGTTAGGGACTTGGGGACTAGACAAACACCAGCAAACATTTCTCCAGCGAATTTAAACAGAACCACTTGTGTGTGGAAATACGCTCAGAAAGTCTTTTCTGTAACTGGTTATGTGATCACTGCTGTCAATAACCCTGAAGAAAAATAAAGATGTTTATAGTATTTCTAAAACCAAAAGCAGACAGTTATATTCCTGAGTTCCAGGACTTCAACTTGCTGCAATTTAATTTAATTAAAATGAAAACTGAACAGAATGCATTATTAAATATTGGTAATACACTGGCAGAGGGAAATTATTTTGACAAAAATTCATATAATGGATGCAGATAAAGGTCCCTCAGTACTACAGTGTGTCAAATTAAATAAAGCTTTATTGGAATCTAACAAAGCATGCTAACAATGCACTTAAAATAGAAAGATTTTTTGTTTCTATTTTGAAAGCATAATTAACCTAAACTTTAAGAAAAAGAAAAAAATTAAGCACCAATTAATTTAAATGTTGTTATCCAACTTTTGGATAATAGTTGTTATTGCACAAGCTTTATTCATATTTAAACATACTACATTCATCTTCTCATTTCAGAATCTGTAACTACTGTATCATTTTGTAGGATATTACGCATTTGATTTAAATTATTTTAAAGTCCAGATATGCATTGGACTTCATCATCATCAGAAGACTTTTAAATGTTGCAGAGGGAGCAGGCATACTCAACTGTTCCCTCTCAAACACATCAGTGATAACATGCAGTGACAGACTCCGAGTACAGGGTAGCCCTGGGTGGCACCCGTGACCCATCTGGTTCCGCCTCATCACCCATGGGAGTGCCAAAGGGCACACTGGAATTTTTTTTCATTTCTGGATCTGCAACAACGTGTGTAAGTGAAGCCAACAACCCATTTAATACCTTCCCTCGCTGCAAAACTCTAGCAGGAATCTGCGTCTGCCATGGGCTAGGGCTAGATTTGCCCCCTAACAAGGAGGTTTCATGAGACAGACTGGCTGGAAAGGGCACTCCTGCCCCCCACCACACGCCACACCCAGGATGCTCAGAGACACTCTGGGGTCAGTGCCAGCACCTGACCGACCCCTTTGAAAAGTTGTCCGCCCTTCTGCAGCTGTCAGCCAGAGGTGGCAGCTCAGATGCAGATACGACAGATGATGCAGCAGTTCAGGAGACCCTGCGCTAAGAGTGGAGTTTCGATCACTTTAGGCCAATGTAAGGTGTGAGCTACAGCTGGAACGAGGAGACCTGCGCTTCTGCACTAGTGTTCATAGCGGATCAGGAAACTAATGAAGCCGAAAATTTATCACTTATTTTCTGGTTGCTCCAGTTTTCAGCTGAATTTGTTCCTGATCTGGCTCATTTCATGATCAAATGAATGTGAGTGGTGGCTCAGGGGTAAGGAGAGAACGTAGGATCGTCCCTTCTAGCAGCAGCTTGCAGTTGTATCTGTTGAAGTAGACTGTGGGACCACAGCCCCAGAATAAGCTCCTTGTTTTCTGATATATGGCTATGTGCATTGCATGATGTAAATAATACTCCATATTTTGGTCTCATAACCCTTTGTGGACAGCAAGTGGCTATGCCTGCATCATTTGCTAAGTGGAAATGACTAGGAGAGTGCTGTGATCCTTCTCCCATCGCCTCTTCGTGCAGCTGCCTCACAGACTACCTGGCTGGGAGCATACAGCAAGTGTCACGCACTGGGTGCCCTGGGAGGCGCAGGGCTTGCGTAGCCTGGATGGCACCTTTCGGCTTCGCACGGGCCATTCTACAGGCGCAGTGCCTGTATGGTCAGCACAGCAGGTCCTGAAGAGAGCTTCTGGCTGCCCCTCAGAACAGCATTTTCGTGTATGGAATGAGGCGTATTCCTCACGAGGGTAGATAGCTCCGTGTAGCCCTTGCTGTTCTTGTTTTACAGCCTCATCCTGTCAACGCCGCTCGCTGTAACTCCCCTGACTTAAAAAGCAAAACAAAACTGCTAAGGAAGTGAATAGAGCTTATTCACAAGCTTTGCTGGTAAGGTAAATAATCTTAATGGAAAGTATCTATAAGATTAGTCCATTAAGCAACATAACCCCAAAGTCAATTAAAAAAAATAGCAAGGCTTTTAAAAACCAAGTCATGAAATTAATGAAAAAAATGGCTGGCTAAATAAAACGTATTTGCACAGGCAGCACTTCTGTAGCAATTCTCAAAATAGCAGCTTGTGCTGCTTGGTAAAGAAAGCCCATGAAACACGATGATTTTCATATAAATATCTTTAAACAACAAATCAGTTAGTTTTAACTGTTGGGAATGTGAAATGTAGTAAGAAAGGATGCCTAAAAGTCAGAATTTTGTAAACCCTAAGTGGAAATGACATTTTAAATGTCACAGCCAAAAAATGACAGAAACAATGACACACCAAAGGTCATATTCAAAGTAACATTCAAAAACAAAGACAGCTGAATATAATGCCGTTAGTACATAACCATTCTCTGAGGGAAAAGGGGATTTTCAAATTGATTAAATTAGAAAGATGACATTGGAAGAACAAGAAAATAAATGTTCTCGGGAAATCATACGAGTCACTTTAGCTAAAGAGGCATTTCATTTAAAATAATATAAGTGCAGCAACAAAATTTATAAGCCGCATTTTCCTGGCTTGATGTGTGTGAGCGCTTCTGCTTACATCAAGGTGATTCTACATACCCATCGCCTCGGCCAGACCAGAAACCTTCTGCCCATATATATCTGTCTTATTCCAGGCAAACGTGTACACCAAATTGGCTGCAGCAGGAAACCATTTCTGAAGCAGACGTCCTTCAACAGCAACTATCAGATGGACTTTTGTCATTCCAGAAGGGATGGTTGTGTGTGTCAAAATAATGCGCAGCAAAGTTTTATACCCTGGTGTTCGACTGCTGAGATAACTCAGCTTTACAAAACTCGACGGAATTGGGATTTCCTCTTGGACCACCTTGGAAAAAAACCACATCATTATATCTATAGTCAAGAAAAATGCAAAATTAATATAATAACAGCAGGTGCTTTATTTCACATTTCACAATCATGATGTGAACACAGTACCCCTTAACACACTGATGTCTTCTGTGACGACTTCAGCAATGCGGTCGCCAGGCATATCACAAAATGTCCAATACCACAAACTGCTTGGTCAACTTACTGGGTGGCGATCTGTCTATTTTGATAAAGAGCCTCTTCCTCTAATGCTTTACTCTTATCACTGAGAACCAAATACTATCTCTGGACATATTTACATATGAGCGCTACAGCTTTACCTTGGCTTTATTATTTGGTTTGCTTAACAAGTGTTCTTAACCAAAATACAATTAAAAACTTTTTAAAAATACGCACGCACTTTATGCATTACATCATGATTTGAAGACACGATCCTGCTTCGGAGGCAATAACTCTAACTTGGGGAGAGCTAAGAAAGGAAACAAACCTTCCTGCTAAACGGTCTTCTGTGCAGAAGCGCTTGCAGCAAGGCTAAGCCCCAGCACGGTGTAGGAAGGCGCAGCATTAGGAACCTAACAAGCTAACTGGGGACACGCGGCAGCGAAGATGAAAGGGTCTGGGTGCCAGAGTCATCTAGCTAACAGGTAAGTCCCCAGGGTGTGCAACAGCGCTCAAATCCCACGGCACTGCTGTCAGTGCTGCTGTCTGAATCACTTGGATTAAAGCTGCCCTGGATGTACCCGCTGTGGGGTGGTATCAATTCCTGGCTGCAACGAAGATAAGCCCTCAGCAACTGGAAGGACTGCAAAGACTGGGAGCTTGTGAGGGGAGAAAAAGAAAGTTGGCCTTGACCTTTTGAATGATGTGGGCCTTGGAGCTAGAAAAAGGGATTTAGCTCTTGTGATCTCCTGAGAAAAAGGAGCTCTTCTAGGACAGACTGTGAAGAAGAGCAGGCAAGAGAAGAGAGCAGCTCTTGAAGGATGCCACTGCAGTCACTCAAAAGCCACTGAAAACTAGACTGTGCTTAATAAGGTTAATGATTTCAGCGTATTTCTGTAATAACAAGCAAACCTATCACAATGTTAAATTCGTCAAGTGTAGAAAAATACAAACTGTTTTCTTTATATTCCCCTGTTTTAAAATTTTTCTTGTTTAACAATAGATTACTTCACTTTCAAAACAATTTTATTTACACATTGCAACAGTATGACTGTCATAGGACTGCTGCAGTACAGCTGGAGGCCTGCCAGCACTTGTCGTTTCGACATATGAAATGTAGTGTTGCCAGGGAAATCCTGCTCCCTGT